AGAAAAAAAAAAAAAAAAAAAAAAAAAAAAAAGGTGGCTCCATAATTGTTCAGACGGCAGTCAGCATATTGTGGTAGACACTATCCGCCCTTTGCGACAAGACTTTTAGTCTTTTACTATTGAGAAAGCGAGACTTTTTTGGTTGGGGTGGGAAAACCCAATTTTTTTACCTCCAAAATTATACCTTTCCCCGCTATAATACTGAGTTAAGTTCCCGCTTAATGAAAACTATATCCTAGCGTTAATATAGTGCTGCGAAATACTTGCAATCCGATTTTGATACTTTTAGTAGCAGTTCGTAAATTAGCGCTACAAATGACTGCTACGAATGCTCATATTTCTTGTAGTGCAATGTTCATGCCTTTATAATATTTTAGGAGTAAAAAAAAAATCCGTTTTATTTTGAAGTCACTGTTGATATGATGATGTTATAATAGTCCTTAGTTCTCACATTGTTCGATCGAGTCTTGATTTGTTTCACATCGTTACTGTCATATCATACATAATTACTTCTCCTTTGTCATGGTTAATAATGAAAACAGGTAGTTAGGTTATTAGCATTATAAGAAGATTAAGAACTTATACAATTCTTATCATAGACTTGCTTAATGCATCTTTAGAGTTTGATCTTTTAGGTCCCAATTGAAACAAATGGTTTGCTCTTCTGTGCTCTTCTTATTTACATGCTTCTGAGTTGATTAGTACTATGAAAATTTCTTATGTTCTTTTTTTTTATTATTCTTCTTCGTATCGTTTATGATGTAATTCGACACACGCGCGATTATATATTTGTAGATCAAGGAATCTGAGAAGTCTTGGACTTGCAATGTGCTTTCCAAGGGTGACGAGGCCAGGACTTGTGAACGCAATCTCAAAAATTCCATTGCTTGAAACCCTCGAGGTCTCACACTCATGTTTAAAACTGAGTTTGGAAGATATAGGCCACGCTTTCCCACAACTAAAGACATTGAAGTTAAACTCCTCAGGGGTTTCTAGAACTCTCGCAATGATGATGATTATGCCCTAGAAATCGCTGAAAGCATGCCAGAACTACGCCACCTCCACCTTTATGGGAACAACCTAAGTGACACACGCTTGTATGCCATTCTTGATGGTTGTCCTCACCTGGAACGAGTGTTTACAAACGTGCTTCCAGCTTAAACTTGTCGGAGATTTGGAAGATGTTTTGAGAGGATCAAATACTTTAGACACATCAAATCATGACTCAACCTTTGATCACCCATTTGATATCACTTTTGTCAATGACTTGGACAACATTGAGGTTTACTATGACTTTTATCGGGACTAGATATTATATATCTCTTTGAACACAAGTTGCTTTTTATGGTCATGTCAGTATGTCACATTATGAACTTGTTCATGTCTCCTCTAGTCCTCTTTTCTCTATGTTGGTTTGGTAGTGTTTCAAAGTCCCTTATTTTCTTTGTACATTTTAAGTTTGTAGTGCGTGATTGTAACTCGCGTACGATGCAGAAATTGTTTCTTAAGAAAATGTTTTCACAAAACACACTTTTTAAAGTGTTTCTTCTGACTTTTGGACAAAATCAAAATGAGTTCTCATGGATTTGCCAAATAGTATATTATTTTGACCAAAATACATTTTTAACTAAATGAACACAACTATTCTCTCATTTTCTTCTAGCTATCTTCCCCACAAAAAGAGAACAAATATAAAATTTATGAAGATAAAATAGTAATAATAAAAAGAATTTTTTTGGCTTAGAGCCTAAGCCAAAAAAATAAAAGAACTAAAATAAATCAGTTTCTTAATTTATTCTGTTTTCTTCTCTCACTTTCTTTCATTGTTCTGATTGACATTGAAAGAAAGTGAGAGAAAAAAAAATTGATACTGATTCTGAAACAATTTTGTTTGAAATTGAAACTGCCTCTAAGTAGGAATTTTGATAGTATAATAAAATGTGCCTTGCCTTCCATGAATTTAAATAATGGTTGAAAACTAGTTTATGTTATCGTAAAAAAACAATTAGAAAAAACCTTTGTCATGGTTAATGAAAAGAATTAGTAGGTTAATTAGCAGAAGAAGATCATTTGTTCATAGAACTCTTGTACAAGACTGGCCTACAAAATTGCATCATGACTTCAAAACAGACACTGAAATCAACACGCGTTCCAACAAGTTCAAAATGATTTCAAAAGAATTTTCTTCATAGTTGATACTTGATAGCATGCCCAAACTCGCTTGTTTTGTCTATGATGTGGTTTTTGTTGGTCTTGTCAATTTATGAACTAGTTCATATCTCCTCTTTTCTCTATGTTGGTAGTTTCAAATTCCTCATTTCCTTATGATTTTTAAGAACTTTATCCAACTTCTTACTAACTAAATCCTCCTCTCGCTTGTTACTCCACGTGAATAGCGGACTATGAGTCCTCATATCCACTAAAGAACAATACCGCCCACACCACTTCTTGGAAATCTTGCATGCCCGAAGTAACCAGAAGAGAGAAGAATCGGATCGTGTTCTTCAAAGTCAAGCGTCTCATTGAACTCGCCTAGAATAATTCACGGTTTGCCCCGAAACGATGAATACAATTTATTCATTTAACTAACCATATTTTTTATTTATTGGTTATTTAATTATATCAAAGTTAACATATTTTTTAAAAATATAATTGATGATAAAGCATTAACAAAACCGAACCTAATTCTTTTAAATCTATATTTTGTTGGATAAGTTTGATTTTTTTCCTGCTAGATAGATTACTATATAAAACTTTATTTGGTAGAAAATCTTAACATTAAAACAAAAACAAAAAATCAAACGGAATTATTATTTTTACTTAAATAGAAACGAGTAAAAAAAAATAACGAGTCCAAGATTGTTCATGACGATATCATTGAGGTGGTGGCAAAAGTGTTTATGAGCGCGTGTATTTACTTAGGCCTTAGAAAATCAAGCAAACATTAGCGCGTGATTGTTATCTGCGATATATGCGGCTGGTCTTGCTTGATTCTTCAGGAGTATTTAGACCTAATTAGACGTGGCATGAATCGTACCGTAGACACATAATACTACGATGACCAAATGTCCGAAACAATACACTTCACTTCTTATTCACTAATTTGACCTAATCTTATCCTCAAAAACGACAGCCTCCTCTTTTTCAGAAAAGAAAATGACAGCCTCCTCTTTTTGAGAAGAGAAAATGACAACCTCCACTACGTTGCTGTCGTTGTTCATGAAAGAAGATGAAGAGCAAAGAAAAGAGCAACGAAACTGGTTGGATCTTCCGCCGGAGTTGACGACTTCGATCTTGCTCCGACTTAGCGTGACTGATATACTGTTTAACGCTCAGAAGGTGTGCAGACAATGGCGACGCGTCTGTAAAGACCCTTCGATGTGGCAGAAAATCAACTTGCGAGACTGCCTATTCTATCGGTTCGATTTCGAGGGCATGTGTCGTCACATTGTTGATCTCAGCCAGGGTGGCTTGCTAGAGATCAACATTGGACACTTCGTGAGCGATTCTCTCCTCAGCTACATCGCCGATAGGTTCTCTCTCTCTCTTCTCTCTATTCCTTTCGCAAGCTACGTTTGAACTGTTTTTCATGGAAATCTCCAAATGCTGTTTAGAGAAATTATGGATTTTATTTGATTTCACTGATCTGTGAATTAGACACAAAATGTCCCAGTATAAGAAATCTCTGATATGTGTTTGTTCCTTTTTCTCCTGAGGATTAATTAGGGCAAAATTTTGATAACTTATAATCGTTTTTTTTTTTTGTTAATCATGTGTTAATTAAACTCAGTTTATCATGTCTTTTTAATTTCCTTTTACCTGATCTGGTGATCTGCAATGAATGGACTTTGGATATTCATTTACTCAAAGTTTTCTTTTAGGTACTCTACCTTTGGGGTTTGACATGCACGGATATGAAGGCTAATTTTGATGCCTTAATAGTCTTTTAGAGTAAATGGTTTCGATTCTCATGCGGTCATGCCTTATCTAATAGTGTTTTAGAGTAAATGCCTTAATAATGGTTTAGATATAAAGGCTAATTGCTATGCTATGACGCTGTTAGAAATTTATAATAGTCCTTTAATTGTTCTCACATTGTTCAAGTCTTGTTTCGTTTCACACCGTTATTATCATCATATATCACTTTACTTGTCATGGTTAAAGAAAACAAGTAGTAATCAGGTTATTAGCATATATCATTAGCTTGTAGAACTCTTATGATAGACCACTTACTTAAAGCATCATTGTTAATTTTCATGCCTTAAAAGTATTTTAGGGTAAACGGTTTTGATTTTCATGCCTTAATAGTGTATTAGAGTAAATGCCTTAATTTTTAGATATATATGAAGGCTATTTCCATGCTATGACGCTGTCCAATCTCACATTGTTCGATCGAGTCTTGTTTTGTTTCACTGTTATTACTCTATCATCATATATAACTATACTTTACTTGTCATGGTTAAGGAAAACAAGTAGTTAGGTTATTAGCATATATATATAAGAACATCATTAGCTTATAGAACTCTTATGGTTTCGTTTTTTTTATAACCTATTGTTGTTAATCTTCTTCCTAGTTTATGATTTAACTCTTCACGTAATTATTTGCAGATCAAGTAATCTGAAAAGTCTTGGACTTTCAATCTATGAACAAATGACGAACGAAGGAGTTATGAAGGGAATTGCAAAATTTCCATGGCTTGAAACCCTCGAGGTCTTCCATTCATCGTTTAAATTGGATTTGAAGGCTATAGGCCACGCTTGCCCACATCTAAAGACATTGAAGCTAAACTTCTCAGGCTGCCCAGGGCATGAAATTTATCTTATAAGTCAGTTAGATTTCATTCCCCCTCCCGTCGAATGTGATGATGATGCCCTAGCAATCGCTGAAAGCATGCCGAAACTACGCCACCTCCAGCTTATTTGGAACGGACTGACCAACACTGGCTTGAATGTCATTCTCGACGGTTGTCCTCACCTGGAAGACCTTGATGTGCGCAAGTGTTTCAACATTAAACTTGTCGGGAATCTTGAGAAGCGATGTTTGGAGAGGATCAAAGAGTTGAGACGCCCCGGTGACTCAACCGCCGATTACCCATATAATATCGGTGTGTCGACAACTGTGCTTCAGATCATGATTAAATGTGGATTCATTCCGAGACACAGGGTTGCTTGTTGATGGTCTTGTCAACTTATGAACTCGTTTATGTCTCTTCTTTTCTCTATGATGCCAGTGACTATTATTGGTATTAGATACTGAATCTTTCTGAACAATGCAGAGAACATGTGGTTTTTGTTGGTTTTGTCAACTTATGAACTTGTTCATGTCTCCTCTTTTTTTTTCTCTATGTTGGTAGTTCTTATTTCCTTCTAAACTTTTTAAGCTTTGAGCGCGTGACTGTTGCTCGCGAAAACGATGCAATGGTTTTTGATTTTTCATAGGTGTGTAGATCGTGGCGCGGAGTCTTTAAAGACCCTTGGATGTGGCGGAGCATTGACTTAAGAAACCGCAGAAGCTCGGCAAAAATGAAGCAGAAGCTCGATATCATGTGCCGTCACGTTGTTGATCGGAGCCAGGGAGGCTTGGCTGAGATCAAAATTTGGAACTATGGTTCTAATGGTCTCCTCAATTACATAGCCGATAGGTTCCACATCTCTCTCTTCTTCCATATGACTCACACGCACGCAAGTTTTGGTTTTCTTAAAGTGCTTTTGATTTCACTCGTTCAATGTGACGAGAGTGATTGAGAATTGAGGAAAATTTTGTTTGCTTATGACTTTGTTTGGAGGATTTTGTTATCTAAATCTCGAATCTCTGATAAAATGCACTTCTTCACGTTGAGTGGTTTTGTTAACGAAAACTTTTAAAGTTAAATTTTATTGGGCAAGTTTAAACTTGTTCTTTCTAGTAATTTAATTTAATATGTAAACTTTTATTTGGTATAAAATCTTAGCATTGAAACCTAAAAACAAATCAAATCGAATTATACTTTTACTTAAATAGAAACGAATAAAAAAAACATTAGCGCGTGAGTGTATTTGCCTAATTATACGTGGCATGGATTGTACCGTATACTACGACGACCAAATATTTGACTTGGGGACGGAAGCACAAAGGTAGACATCACTTCTTTTATACACAGATTTGACCTAATTTTACCCACAAAAATGACAACCTCCGCTTTTTCAGAAAAGAAAATGAAAACCTCCTCTCCGTCGCCGATGAAAGACGAAGAGCCAAGAAACTGGGCGGATCTTCCGTCGGAGTTGACGTCTTTGATCCTGATCCGTCTTAGCGTGGCTGATATTCTGGACAACGCTCAGAAGGTGTGCAGACCGTGGCGACGCGTCTGTAAAGAACCTTCGATGTGGCGGAAAATCGACATGAGAAGCCTGATCAGAGATAGGGGAATGCTCGACCCCTTAGCTATCATGTGCCGTCACGCCGTGGATCGCAGCGAGGGTGGTTTGGTCAAAATCCACCTTGGGAACTTCGTCAACGATGATCTTCTCGACTACATCGCTGATAGGTTACCTATCTTCTCTCTATCTCTTACCACTCGCTATGTTTGTTTCATGGGAATCTCTCCAATTTTTTAGAGAAATTGATGGCTTTAGACAAATAAATATGTGTCGGTATATATTTTGAGTATCTGAAAATGTGTTTGTTCCTTTTTTTTCGTGAGGATTAGGGCAAAACTTTGTTCATTAATTATAAGAGATCCCCATTTAATTATAATCGTTGATTTTTATTTTTATTTTGTTTATCACTCGTGTTAATGAAACTCCACTTATCTTGTCTTTTTATTCCCTGTTACTGGATTTGCTATGAATGCACTTTGGATATTCAGTTACTCTTACTCGAGAATGTATGTCTTGCAACTTAAAGTTTTCTTCTAATGTACTCTACGTCTGGTATGAATGCACTCATGTTTGCAACTCAATGTTCATGCCTTTATAATGTTTTAGGAGTCAAAAAAAAAATCAGTTTTATTTTGGAGTCACTGGTTATATGATGATGTTATGATAGTCCTTAGTTCTCACATTGTTCGATCGAGTCTTGTTTTGTTTCACATCGTTAATTACTGTCATATCATACATAATTACTTGTCCTTTGTCATGGCTAATAATGATAACAAGTTGTTAGGTTATTAGCATTATAAGAAGGCTATTAGCGTTATACAATTCTTATCATAGACTTGCTTAGTTGCTTAAAGCATCTTTAAAGTTTGATCTTTTAGGTCCAAATTGAAACAAATGGTTTGCTCTTCTGTGCTGTTCTTATTTACATGCTTCTGAGTTGATTAGTACTATGAGAATTTCTTATGTTTTTTTTTTTTAAGAACGTATTGTTGTTCTTCTTATCGTTTATGATTTAACTCGACACGCTATTATATATTTGTAGATCAAGGAATCTGAGAAGTCTTGGACTTGGAATGTGCTTTCCAAGGGTGACGAGGCCAGGACTTATGAATGCAATCACAAAACTTCCATTACTTGAAACCCTCGAGGTCTCACACTCATGTTTAAACCTGAGTTTGGAAGATATAGGCCACGCTTGCCCACAGCTAAAGACATTGAAGTTAAACTCCTCAGGGGGTTTCTGGAACTCTCGCAATGATGATGATTATGCCCTAGAAATCGCTAAAAGCATGCCAGAACTACGCCACCTCCACCTTTATGCGAATAACCTAAGTGACACACGCTTGAATGCCATTCTTGACGGTTGTCCTCACCTGGAACGATTGATTACAGATGTGTTGCAAGCTTAACCTTGTCGGAGATTTGGAGAAGCGATGTTTTGAGAGGTTCAAATACTTTGGACACACCAAATCATGACTCAACCTTTGATCACCCATTTGCTATCACTTTTTCAATGACTTGGACAACATTGAGGTTTACTATGAGTAGATAGTGAATCTCTCTGAACACAGGTTACTTTTGATGGTCATGTCACATTATGAACTTATGTCTCCTCTTTTCTCTATGTTGATTACCCATTTGATATCACTTTTGTCAATGACTTGGACAACTTGAGGTTTACTATGACTTATATCCGGACTAGATAGTATATCTCTTTGAACACAAGTTGCTTTTTATGGTCATGTCACATTATGAACTTGTTCATGTCTCCTCTAGTCCTCTTTTCTCTATGTTGGTTTGGTAGTGTTTCAAAGTCCCTTATTTTCTTTGTACGTCTTAAGTTTGTAGCCGTGATTGTAACTCGCGTACGATGCAGAAGTTGTTTCTTAAGAAATTTTTTTTCACAAAACACACTTCTTAAAGTTTTTCTTTTGACTTTTGGATAAAATCAAAATGAGTTCTCATGGATTAGCCAAATAGTATATTATTTTGACCAAAATACATTTTTAACTAAATGAACACAACTATTCTCTCATTTTCTTCTAGCTATTCGTTTGATTAATAGGAAAAGTAGAAAAGGAGTATAAGATGATAGGAGAAGTAGAAAAGGAGTATGAGATGATCATGAAAAGGACAATACAGAGTATTTGTGTTTTGACTGTTAATCCAAATACCACCACCTCAGTGATAAATCAGGTGAGTAGCTATTCATTGTGTGTATCGATATTCGATTCTTCATCCATTTTAGTACCTCCACTCCCTTGTAAGATCTCAACTTATCAATTTGAGTTGTACCTAATGTTTTCATTTTTTGATTTTTGATTCCCGTGTAGTGTACATGTATATATATGTGTGAAAAAAAAACCAAATAGGTAGTCAAAAGTCTATGTGTTCTTGTATTCATCAGTCTCTTGATTTGAAGAGAGGGACCGAATTATACAAAATTCTTGAAAACTTGAAACTGATGAAACGTTTTTGAAGCCATGTTGCAATAACTAGTCCCTTTGCTTGTTCTCACATAGACAAGTCTTGTTTTGTTTAACAGTCACTCTCACCACACTTACTTTGTCACTGTCATCTCCACTTGTAGAACTCTTAGAAACTTTAGACACTTGTCTCTTGTACATTGGTTCAATTTTATTTTTACAACTCAAATTTAATTATATAACTAAATTATAAATATTAATTTGGTTTGAGAGACACTTTGGGTTTCTCATGAATAGAGATGATCTTATGTCTCATATGTACTAGTTAACCCAATTTAAACAATATATTAATTGTTCATATATATCACTTGATTCCTAAGTTGTTAAATTGTTATATGCTTGTAAGTTGATAACTGATCAATATTATCAACTATGTAAAAATATTCTTTTGAAGTTATTTTGAACTTGTTTGAGCGCGTGTTGACTTCACAGGATGCGTTTTGAAATCAAAATGCAATATTAACATCTATTACATATTTTATTCATTCACCTTTAACTATTTATTCATCTAACTAACCACATTTATGATTTATCCATTATTTAATTCTATCAAATTTAACATATATAAACAGTAAGCAACAACGACTAATAATAAAACATTAACAAAATCAAACCGAATTTGTTTAATTTAAATTTAAATTTTATTGGGTAAGTTTGAATTTGTTCTTTCTAGATTACAATGTAACTTTTATTTGGTATAAAATCTTTAAAACAAAACAAAAATCAAACCGAATTATTTTTGTACTTAAATAGAAACGAGTTCAAGATTTGGTCATGACAATATCAGTGGTGTGAGCGCGTGTATTTGCTAAAAATCAAGCAAACATTAGCGCGTGGGTGTAGTTGCCCTAATTATACGTGGCAGGGTTTGAGTTAAG